TCAAGGACAAGGTTAAGAACATTGGTGCAAGCCTAGTGAAACAGGTCGCCAATGCTACAAACGATGTTGCTGGTGATGGTAAGTTGTAACTTTTTTAAATTTGTAAATGCATTTTTTTTTATTATCCTAAATTGTGTTAATTGTGTCTTCAGGTACTACCTGTGCCACTGTCCTCACTCGCGCAATATTCGCTGAAGGCTGCAAGTCTGTGGCAGCTGGCATGAATGCCATGGACCTAAGACGAGGCATCACAATGGCTGTTGATGCAGTAGTTACAAACTTGAAAAGTAGAGCAAGAATGATCAGCACATCCGAGGAGATTGCTCAGGTTTGTTTGTGGTGACTCTATTTAAATAAGGTCCATTAAGAGACGATAGGGTAGTGTTTTAATGAGTGTCATGTGTCAATAGGGAAGAGAATGAATGCCCGGTTACTTTCTGAGCCGATGTTAGATCTTTCACCTAGGAAAATGGCATTCTATCCCGTTTCAACTGTTAGCTATCTAATATGGTTGTGCATCTGTAGGTTGGAACAATTTCTGCTAATGGAGAAAGAGAAATTGGTGAGCTGATTGCAAAGGCTATGGAGAAAGTAGGGAAAGAGGGTGTTATAACAATTCAAGTATGTACACTATTCTTGATTTGTATGATGAACCTTAAGAATTTTACCTTTCGAATGTTTTCTCATTCTTTTTTACGGTAACATTATTTCTCGATTGCTCACTACAGAAGTTATAGCAAAAGGCTTTGTATAGGCAAAGAGAGCATAATTTCGTTGTCCGTTTAAAACTTGAATGTTCATGCAGCAAGGGTTGTTTGACATTTTTGTAGAACGAGACGTATTTTGTTTTATTTCTCTAATTTGTTTTGAGTAGGCATCTTTATCATGTAAGGAAAGCTACGTGATTGTACAAGCCTGCCAATATACTACACACTACTTCTGATATTTGCTTCCTGTTCGACCTGTATGGTGCATGTGTTCTTGATCTAGTGTATTGGTCATTTACTTCTTAACGAGAAATATATGTGGTGTTCATAGGATGGAAAAACACTGTTCAATGAATTGGAAGTGGTTGAAGGGATGAAGCTTGACAGAGGTTACATATCTCCATACTTCATTACAAATCAGAAAAATCAGAAATGTGTAAGTCTTAATTGGCTGAATCGATCTATACTACCAACGAGTTTCTTGGATCTGATGCATGCGTGATCTAGTTGCTTTTCTCTTTGTCTGCCTTGTCCGCAGGAATTGGATGACCCGCTCATTCTAATCCATGAGAAGAAAATATCAAGCTTACATGCTATTGTGAAAGTTTTGGAATTAGCTTTGAAGGTATATAACATTAAGTTAATGACCTTGGCTATAGCAAATGCTTTTAGTTTTGAAATTAGCAGCTCATTTACGCCATGCTTTAGTTGCTTTACTGATTCCTATTTGTCTTTTATGTGTGCAGAGGCAAAGGCCTCTTTTGATAGTTTCGGAAGACGTTGAAAGTGAAGCACTTGCAACTCTTATTGTTAACAAACTTCGAGCTGGAATTAAGGTATTTGACTCCTTTTTCCTGAAGTAGGTGTATTTTCTTTTCATTGGGTGACATTATTTCTTGGCCCGTGGCTTCACTGTTGCTATTGACATTTAAATTTTACAATGCAGGTTTGTGCTGTGAAAGCACCCGGATTTGGTGAAAACAGGAAATCTAGTTTGCAAGATCTTGCTGTCTTAACTGGAGGCCAGGCAAGTGCATTTCCAAACGTTTCAACCTTTCCCAACTAAAAAAGACGTGCATAATTCTTTATACTTGTTTGTCTTCCATTTTTACAGGTTATAAGTGAGGAGCTCGGAATGAACCTTGAAGATATTGAATTGGATATGCTGGGCTCATGCAAAAAGGTTTGCTCAATTCTTACTTTGCCAATGCTTCGGCAGGAAAAAAAAAAAGAGATGTTATTTAAAGAGATTGCATCCAACATTTTCTATGTGCTATTGGGGGTATTCGTTGTGCATTACCAGAAGGACTTAGACTTTTTCTTGCTGTTTCTAGGTTACTATATCCAAGGATGATACTGTTGTACTTGATGGTGCTGGTGAGAAGAAATCCATAGAAGAACGATGTGAGCAGGTTGCCATTCATTTCAACAGTCTCTCTCGCTCTCTCATTTCAAGATAGTCTCTCTCTCTCTAAAATGTCCATTACAACCTTGTCTCATCTATTTGCTGTACATGTCCCCTTATGCAGATTAGGTCGGCAATTGAATTGAGCACTTCTGATTACGACAAGGAGAAGTTGCAAGAAAGGCTCGCTAAACTTTCTGGCGGTGTGGCTGTCCTCAAGGTCTGTTTTTATGTTATCAACCCTCAAATATCAGATGACGTGCATTGATCAGTACATTTTTATGTTTAAAAAAAAAAAATTTAATATGATGAGTTGTTTTTC